TCCATGGAGGCTGGGTGAATCCTCAAAACGATTATCCTGAGATGATCTTTAACCCTTAAACCAAAAATATCCCCTGAAATTTTCTTAAAGCCAAATAATAGTTTAGATTAGCAAGTAAAGACTGTCTTCCTTGATCTTTGTGCTCTTTGAAGATCTATCTAGATGGGCTCCAATGGACAACAGCAACTCAAAAGATGAGCTAGGAACCTTAGGAGGCAGTGAATTTATGTTCATGGGGGAGGAGCAAGAGAGAGTGAGAACAGTTTCAAATTCGAAGAATGTTCTATGTCACTAATGTGTATGTGTAAAAAGTTACTGGTGCATTTTTTACTTTATATATTTTCAACAACAACAATAAAATAAATGATTTTCTAAAAGAAAGCCCTGTGGAGCACAATTCTACTTTGACACACAGGGAGTGACCATCAGTTAGAATCGGGACTGGATGTTTGGATCCGAAGCTACTGGAACCTTGACGAAGAGCTTGCCATCTATGTGAGACTGTTCCTTGCTGAAACTCCTCTCCCTAGCTTACTCCTGGGAAGGCAGGTACAGGGGAGGTTGTGCAGAAACAAGACCTCATGGTGGACCCCAAAGCTACAGTCCAAGCCCCTGGGTCTGTCTGGGTACACTCTGTCTCTGCTCTCCCTTCAGTCAGACCACACAACAGCAACAGTAATTGACAACGTTGCTATTTTCTGTTTTCGCTGCTGATTTACCAATTCTAGCTCATTTGTAAAGGAAAGTTGTGCTCCCTTTAGTTTCTCAATACGTCTACCTTTTCCATGTTTTCTTGAAAGATCTCAAAGTGCTTTCTGGTTTGGTGCTGTAGGAAATCACTGCAATATTTAGAAATTCCTACTTTCCACTGAGGTAATTGCGTGGCGCTGTGGTACTTTCCACTGAGGTAATTGCGTGGCGCTGTGGGTTAATGCCAGACAGCAAAGCCGTTTGAATTGCAAGGTCGGCAGTTCAAGTTCACCAGCTGCTCCTCGGAAACCCTATACAGGGTCGCTATGGGTTGGAACCAACTCAATGGCATTTCACAACAACACAGCAACAATTCCACGGCACTTGACACCACCACCACCAAGACTCATTAATCATGTAAATGACAGGTGGTGGTGGTTATGTACCACCGAGTGGGCTCCAAGTCACAGCAACCCTATATAGGGTTTCTGAGGCTGTAAATCTTTATGGAAGCAGAAAGCCTCATCTTGCTTCCACCGTGCAACTGGCAGATTTGAACACTCGAACTTGTGGTTTGCAGCCCAGCTTGTAATTCACTATGCTACCAGGGCTTCATGTAAACCACAAAAAGTCTCTCAAATCAAATTTCCTTGTAGGTCTAATATGCCCAGGTGAGCTGGGAGAGATTGGGCCTCCTAAAGCAGAGATGGGGAGCGTCCGGCCATGAAATCATTTGGTCTGGACCTGCCAAGGCAACTGCGGTTCCAGCCATCACATAGTTGTTGTTATTAGCTGCTGAGTTGGTACTGACTCATAGCGACCCTGTATAGGGTTTCCAAGGAGCAGCTGGTGAGTTTGAACCACTGACCTTGTGGTTCAAACCAATCTTGCTGTATCCCACAGTGCCACACTTGTTGTTGTTGTTGTTGTTATGAAGTGCCGTTGAGTCGATTCTGACCCATAGTGGTCCTGTATAGGGTTTCCGAGGAGCAGCTGGTGAGCCTGAACTGGTGTATTAACCCACAGTGCCACACCAGGACTCCAAGTCTCTCTCTCTTTTTTTTTTTTCAAGTAGCTGCTGGTGCAGTCAAACTGGGGACCTTGAGGTTAACAGCCCAATGGTTAACACACTGATTCAAAATGGCTTCCTAGCCATCACATTGTTGTTGTTAAGTGCCATGGAGTCAGTTCTGACCCATAGCAACCCTGTATAGGGTTTCTGAGGAATGGCTGGTGAGCTTGAACCGCTAACCTTGTAGTTGACGCTGACCTCACAGTCTAGCGTGTCAACCTGCAGTGCCACAAATGTTTGTGACCAAATATTGCAAACTAAGTTTTAAGTTGATAATTTTGTATGGCCTGCAAATGATGTTATAAATTTTGGCAGAAAAAAGGTTCCCCACCCCTGTCCTAAGTGAACAAAGACTACATCACACTTCCAATTTGTGGTGGTGTAGGTTAATGCACTGGACTGCAAAGTCAATTTGAACCAAAAGGTCGGTTGTTCAAGCTCACCAGCCGCTCCTCGGAAACCCCATACAGGGCTGCTATGGGTTGGAACCAACTTGACAGCACATAGCAGCAACAACCCTGGAGAAGGAGTCCTGGTGCAGCACTGTAGGAAAGCACTGCACTGCTAGCCACAAGGTCGGCAGTTCAAATCCATCAATATTCCCAGAAACCCTATACGGGGGTCGCTACCAGCTGCTCCTCGGAAATCCTATACAAGGGTCACTGAGTCAGAGCTCACTCGACGGCATTTAGCAACAACAACAACAGAGGTGGGAGAGAGGAGTTTTTGCTTAAGGGACTCTGAGTTTATATGAATGATTTTCATCACATTTTTGAAAAAAGGAACACAGAATGAGATGCATGAGTGTGCTCAGCCAAATGGCCTGGTCTCCACAGTCTCTGCCCACAGTGACTTGGAGAAAGGAGAGCAGCAATGCCCCCTACCTCTGCCCCCTCCGTCAAAGCCATGTTCCCTGTGTGCCACCCACACTGAAGGTTGAGGAAGACAGCACGACCATGGCGGGGGGCAGTCCCTTCCCCTGTGATCAGTCCACCTCAACACTAGCAACCGGTCCTTTAAAGTCTCTTTAATGTCCTTAAAAGCCAACACAAGCAAAACAAGGGTAGAGCGCATGCCATGTGGGTTCCTCCTACCATCTGCACCCCATTGCAAAGAACCCCCAGATGGCCCTGGAAAGCCAGAGCTGGATGAAGAGAGGGTGAGGCAGTCCCCTTCCTTAGAGTTATTCTCTGCCTCCATTTAGGTTTCAGAAGCAAAAGGTCACTTTTTAAAACATTCCAGTACTGAAAGCCCCTCTTAAAACCAGATGTTTAGGAATGGGCAACTTAGACACTAGCTACCTAAAATGGGGGGAGAGGTTGTAAAGGCACCAAGTGACTGGCTTACAAACTTTCAAGAGGAAGTTTAGATTCAGAGTGTGCCGGGGTTGGGGCAGGGAGGTAGGATCCCCCACTGAGTGGTTTTCATCCTGTCTAGACAGGTCTGGTGAAAGGAGATGGGGACAAGACTCTCATGATTCAATAGTGAGTAATTATTATCAGGACTAATTGCAATTGTCACAACTGGAAAGGTAAAAGTTTTGTAGCAAAAAGGGTTGAGTTGTCGATCTTAAACAGTCCTGGAGCAGAGGACTCTGGGGCCATCAAGGGAGAAGAATGGGAGCAGAGTGTGGGACCCTACCCATAGAAGGGCAATGCTAGAGATGGAGGCAGAAATGATGACATGGAGAGACGGAGCAGCTGAGATGGAGGGAGAGGGGAGGTGTGCTGGTGGCCAGGGGACAGAGTGTGCCCTTTGGCTATTTGAATGATTGTATATTCCTGAGTGTTTTGGTACACATCCAAAAAAGAAACAGAGGGAATAGAAGCAAATACTGTTGAATAATGAAGCATGCAGGGGATTGTAATCATCGCAATGAAACAAACTGATGGTCCCCCATGGAAATTATCACTCAATTCACAATAAAAACTGAAAAAAAATTTAAAAATCCAGATGTTCCCCACACCATTTCCATTGGCAAATCAAATATTGTTTGCTACTCTTCCTGAGTTGACTTCTTCCATTTTAAGTATGTGGACCTTCCCCTGAGAGAATAGTGTCCAGAGACCAAAGGCACAGAGTCTGGAGCCAGGCTACTTGGATTTGACTCCCAGCTCTGCAGCCTTCAAACTGTGTGACCATAGCCAAGTGACTTAACCACTCTGACCCTCCCTTCCACAGTCAGACAGGGTAGATGATAACACCATTCTGCTTCACAGTGTTGGTAGTAGGCTAAGCAATTAGAGTTGTGTCTGAGTAACATATCTGTTGTCGTTAGCTGTTGTTGGCCCAAACACAATGAACAAAATGCTGCTCAGTTCTGCGCCATCCCCATGGTTGGTTGCAGATTGGACAGTTGGAATCCATTAGGGTTTTCATTGGAGTCCTGATATGGTGCTGCAAGATACTGAACTGGACCACAATGTCGGTTTGAACCACAAAGTTGGCAGTTCAAACCTCACCAGCCACCTCTCAGAATCGACTCGACAGCACTTGGAATCGACTCGACAGCACTTTACAACAACAGGGTTTTCATTGGAATCCTGGTGTGGTGCTATAGGATCAACACTGGACTGCTAACCACAAAGTTAGTAGTTCAAACCCACCAGCCAGTCCAAGGAAACCCTATACATGGTCACTATGAGTCAGAACTGACTCGATGGCACTCACAACAACAGGATTTTCATTGTCTGCTTTTAGAAAACAGATTGTCAAGCATTTCTTCTTTGCCTGTCTTAGTCTTGAAGCGCCACCAAAACTTGTTTGGCATCGTAGCAATATGCAAGCCTCCACTGATAGACATAGTGGTAATTCTACATGAGGCGCATTGGCCAGGAATCAAACCTGGGTCCCTCACACGGAAGGTGAGACTTCTATCGCTGTCCCATCAATAACTTCCTAAGTAAAGTAATAAGAGCTATCTACGGACTAGATCTAATACAGTTGTTATTTACAACTAGTGCCCTGGTGGTGTAGAGATATTTAGGTTCCAAATCCAGTCTAGAACACGTGCAACTTCTGAAGCATTCTACACCCTGCCAGGATTTTACTGGCAGGGTGAGCATGAATGTTTAGAACCAACAACGGATCAGTGAAGACATGCTTGAGGCTTAAGAGTCATGTATGCATCACAGATGAATACTTTACCAAACAAGGGTGCTGTCCCCCTATTCTGAGCACATCCTCCTCAGCTATAGCCTCCCCCAATGCCCACCCTTCAGGATGTATGGGTACTCACAGAGGTGGTGGGAATAGCGGAGGTGGAACACGTCACAGCCATGCACGTGGTGGTAGAGTTTCTTCTCAATCAGGTCCTGCGGCTCGTACCCCGTCAGCTCGGTCACCCTGGAGGACGACCAATGCTCAGTGAGGGACTCTGTTCTGCAGATTGTTTTTCATTTAAACTAATATTGGTTTTGCCAACTAATCAAGTGTGAAAAGGCTCAGGGGGGAAATGTTGATTTTGGAAACGGAGAATGATCTTTTTTTTTTTTTTCCTTTACAAGAAGTCTTTGAACTCTGGGTCAGAGCAGGATGTAGCACTGTCCTAAAGTAGGAAGGTCCAGAAACCACTAGGTTTGAGAATGTTTTGAAACAGCTTTCCATTTTAGCATCTTTCAAAGTGAAGCTTACCTGAGGACCAGTTGAGAGTGAACACTGATACCTGTCTTTGGGATGACACCTGAGGAATAACCCTATGTGAGTTTTTAAATTTCCATTTCATACTGGACCATCTGGTCTCATAACTGGGCTAGAACTTTACTCAGAATTATGGAATAATTGGCGTTGGTTAGATAGAGGATTGTTGTACGGCCTCCAGGAAATAGAAAGTATTATGGATTCAATTATGTCCCCCCAGTATATGTGTTCAGAGTCCTGGTATGGTGCTGTAGGATAAGCCCTGGACTACAAGGTCATTTTGAACCTCAAGGTCAGCAGTTCAAATTCACTAGCCACTCCTTGGAAACCCTACGCTATGAGTCAGAACCAACTCAATAGCACTTAACAACTGTAAGATAAGCACTGGACTGTTAACCGCAAGGTCAGTGATTCAAACCCTCCTCCTTGAAATTTTATACAGAATCATTATGAGTCAGAACCAACGCAATGGCACTTAACAACAACAACAACAATATATGTGTTGGAGCCTGATGGTGGTTCTGTGCGATAAGCACTACACTTTGAACCACCAGCTGCTCCATGGGAGAAAGATGAGGCTTTCTCCAAAGCAGTGCAGCCTTGGAAACCCTATACAGTGTTGCTATGAGTTAGAATTGACTTGACAGTACTTAACAACAATTACATATGTGTTGATTTTCTGGTTCTCTTATCTGTAGAGATTATCCTGTGTGAAAACAGAATTTTCTTTGTTATGTTAATACGATCCTACCCAAAGAGGGCAGGTTCTAATCACTTCTGAGTTATAAAAAGAACAAATGAAACTCAGAGACTGGTACACACAGAAAGAAGACAGATGCCATGGGAGGGTCATCTACAAGCCAAGAAACTAAGGAATGCCCATGACTGCCAGCAAGGAAAGAATTGGCCTGGCTGAGACCCTGATTTGAACTTTTAGCCTCCAGAACTGTGAGAAAATAAATCTCTGTTCTGTAAAGTCACCCACTTGTGGCATTTCTGTTACAACCACCCTAGGAAGCTAATTGTGATAACAGAAAATATTGTGACTAAAAGGTCAAATAGAGCTCTCTATAGAAATGAGAGTACTTTTTCAATGCTTCTAGGCCATTGCCCTCTTTATTCTCATCCAGCCACAAGCATATTAATTTCCCACTTTGGCTCTTTGAAGACAAGCAGCTCTCAACATCCAAGAGCACATCATCATTAGCGTTTGGATCACTCCATCTCCAGGTGAAAATTGCATGTGGTAATGGTATCATTTCCCAGGCCATGGGCAACCGAGCTGGGAAGCATGCCTTTGGAGAAGGTGGTCCAAACGTCTTGGTGACAGATATTTAAGCACAGATGAAAGAGGTTGGCGAGAGGCGATCCCAAAGCAGGCAAAGCTATGGTGAGAAGTCAGTGCTGAGGGCTGGGGGGCTAAGGAAGGCTGGGATTGGGGGCCCTGCCCGCCAGGATATGAAATGTTAGCTGTAAATTAAACCAAGAAACTTGACCTCACTTTCATTCTTTAACCCACTTCCCTTTTGGTTGCATTCTGCTCAGGCCTTGGGTCGTAAATCTCCAAGAGCCTCATGTTTCCCTGGAATGGTGCACTATTTGGTGGATGCATTCCCATGGTGTTTCTCTAAGATAGGAAGGAGACGGGGCCCCCAGCAGAGGGACTTCGCAGAATTCACAGCCCAGTCCGGGATTTATCTAAGGACCACCTAGAACTTAAGGTCCCGTCTGAGCCTAACTCTGTGTGGGAGGATAATTGAGACCCATGTCTGGCTTCCCAAAAGAAAACCAGGCATCTCAAGGGCCTGGGGATGAAAGAGGCTTCCCAGACCCTGTGGACATAAAGTTACACAGCAATAGCTCCAAACGTGTAAATGAATCAGAAACACATGTATAAGGTTTCTCATCAAAGTACATACTGGCTTTAAAAAATTAAAGGGAGAGGGAAAGGTTTGGCAGGATGCCCTTCTGGTTTTTTCCAAACCTCCAGTGTCTGAAGACCTGTCAGAGGGATTTGCCAAACCCCAAACATAGCTGGGTTCACCCATCCTTAGCAAAAGCACCAGCTACAGTTTCAAAGCGAAATACCACAAAACCCTGATGAACCAAATTTCAGGTTATGCTGAGTTCAGTTGTGTCTGGGATTGTAGTGGATGGGGTGCCAGCCAGGTTCTGCCCTCCTGCTCCAGGCCCACCACCTCATCCCCTGTGACTTAGGGGCTGCTAGGCTTTAGACCAAGCCCTCACAGTGACACTGGGGCTGGACACAGAGCTGCCATCACCCTCCCCAACTGGCCAATCTGCTTTGCTCTTCGGGTTCCTCCCAGCCCAACCCTCTGCTCTCCTGGCCCAGCAGCCTTTTGAAGACCAAATGAGCTGCAAGACACCAAAGACCGTAGTAAATGTGAAGAATTCTCCAGGACACTTGTGGTCCCTTTTGACACTTCCTATAAGTGTCTGGAATTCACAAAATGCCTCACAGGGCTGGAAGTCTCCTGACATTTAGATTCTTTTGGTGGGAACAGGAAGTTGTCTTCAAGATCGCCTTCTTTCTTTTCTATACCATTTCTAAAACTTTGGCATGAGTCCATTGGGGGAAGCTTACCAGCTAGGCCCTCATACTCTGTCTCTCAAGCAGCTTCCTTCATGCCCCTTTCTCCCAAGCTCCTTTATTTGTCCCCTGAGTCTCAAATCTGTGTTGATAGAAAAATTTATAAGGACCTAAAGTTCTCTTTTCTGTGGAGATTCCCATCTTACTAGTTCTAGAGAATTCTAGAATTTTCATCAGGGGTTTTCTTAGAAGAGTCAAAGAAAAAGGAGGAGACCAAACAAAGGAGAGTATCCTCCCAGATTTCTTAAATAATGAACTTGGGCAGCCAACTTTTCTTTCAGTAGACTTTTAGAAATGGCTCCTGAGTCAGGGAAGAACTCTACTGCCTTGTGTGCCAATACGTCTACCTCACATCCTGAGGCAGTGCAACCAAGGCTGCCACAAGCTGCCTTCTCTTACTGGGCAGCCCCTCCATTTTTCCTTGCCATAAAACAGCTTTGTCTGTGTTTGTTCATCCCCCAAAGGGCTTGCATCTCACCCTGAAAGAGTCATAGTTCTGGGAGATAAAGGTGGATCTGTAATGCTATCTCATATTTTTTCTATTGTGGAGTGCTTCTGAGGTAAATTAACAATGAACCAAACTAGTTTGTGCCTTCATTTACTACCCCTCACCAAGTGGATTTTTTTTCTTTTTCTTTTTCCTTCAGAAAACATCAACAAATCCTGGCTTAAGGACAAGTGGGGAAAAAAATTTATATATCCTTTCTTCTGATCAGCTCATCCAGAAGTGGGGTCTCTGAACTCTTATTCCCATTTGTACTAAAGGAATATGAGGGGTTAGCTAAGGAATACCAGGATTTTTTTTTTTTTACCTTTTCAAATGATTCATGTCTATTCTCAAATTTTGTATTTTTTGACAGGCTGGGAAGGCTATCATTTGGCTGAAAAGATGCCCGACCAGCCTCAGGCCTCAAAATGCCTACAGCTTGCCCTGGGAGAGGAAACGAATCCAGGCCTGAGGGAAAGGCTGAGGCCTCATAATAGTGAGTCCTGAGCAGACTTAACCTGAGGCCTAGTGCAACAGTGAACTCAGTGATCCTTCCAACTCAATCTCTCTCCTTTGACTGAGGAGATGTTCCCCAATTGGAGGGCATTCCCAAGTAGAAGAGGAAAGGAAACAAGGGAGCAGCAGTTTTGAGTCCACCCCAACTTTATCCTCACAGTCAGCTGGGGGTTCCCTCCTGGCACAGAAACAGACATGAAACCTGCTGAATTTGTGGCCACAGCTCTCTATTTCAAAGTAGCAAAGTCTGTCAAAGCTTCCGTGGCTCCACCCCTACTCTGTTCAGTGTGGAAGTGTTCTCTGTATCTTAAACTACAATGTGGGGTTGTAGGATCAGCACTGGACTGCAAACCACAAGGTCAGCTGTTCAAACCCACCAGCTGCTCCTCAGAAACTTTATACAGGGTCGTTATGAGTTGGAACTGACTCGACAACACTTAACAACAGTAACAATGCACTGTAGACACGTTTTCCTGGTCTGTTGGTGTGGTATAATTCTAACACCATGGAACAAAAATGTTAACTTGCAAAAAAAAAAAAGTTAACTTGTGCCTACAACAATATATTTTTGTTTCAAAATCATGTGATGATTCAAACAAACAAAAAGTACCTATAACTATAAGCTGGTTAAGAAGTCCCTGAGTGAGGCGAATGATTAAGCATTTGACTATTAGCCAAAAGGTTGGTGGTCCAAACCCACATGGAGGCAACTAAGAAGACAGGCCTGGTTGTCCACTTCCCAAAGATCACAACCTTGAAAGTCCTGTGGAGCACAGCTCTGTACACATGGGGGTCACAATGAGATGGGATCAACTAACACCAAAGCTGGTTAAACCAATATCAGTTTCTGTTGAGTCAATTCAGATTCAGGGCAACCCCATGTGTGTGAGAGTAGAACTGTATGAGAGTTGTTGTTGTTGTTGTTGTTGTTGTTGTTGTTGTTAAGTGCCATCGAGTCGATTCTGACCCATAGAGACCCTGTATAGGATTTCCAAGGAGCAGCTGGTGAGCTTGAACCGCCAACCTTGCAGCACAGTGTCACACCAGGACTCCATGTATGAAAGTAGCTCCATGGAATTTTCAATGGCTGATCAATGATGTAGATCACCAAACCTTCTCTGTTAAATTGTTAAGTGCTGCCGAGCTGGTTCCGACCCATAGTGACCCTGTATAGAGTTTCCAAGGAGCAGCTGGTGAGCTTGAATCCTTGACCTTGCAGTTCAAACCGGCTTTCAGTGAATTAACCCACAGCGTCACAGCAGAACTCCAAACCTTTCCAAACGTCTAACCTTTCAGTATTCACTGTTTACACTACCCAGGGACTCCATAAACTAGTTTACTTCCTCAGTAATAAGACTGATGTTCCTTCTTTCAATACATCATTTGTTTTTACAAAATTCCTTTTCAATTCACAGTCCTAGCACACCTAATCTCTTGTTAGTGTCTGGCTTAGTATTGTTGTTTTTCAAGAGCCATTTCCACCATCAGTACTGCCCAGAACTCCACAGAACAGTGGCTGGCGCCAGACTTACCTGGAATCCAGGAATATCAGCTTCAGGTCAAGGCTGGCCCTGAACATGAACATGTTACTGTGTAGTTTGATCTCCGTGATGGCGCTTGGCGGCAGCGATTGGCCCACAGCCACCAGTCCCACAATCTGGTAACAGGAGTCATACAGGGACATGTCCAACATATACTGTCTGATCTTCAAATAGCCACTGCAGTGGATGACCTGGGAAAGAGAGGGCAGGGTCAGCCTCTAAAGGTCTGGTGCCTAGTCCTCCTGGCTCTGGGCCTGCTCATTTACAGGAATGTGAAGGAATATCTTCCCAGCACAACTACTTCTGAGCTGGACTAAACATTTGGGTGGACATCCAAATCATTACTTAGAAGAAACGAAGCTATGCTTCTTTCTTAGGAAACATTAGCGTAATAAAATACAAGGCCTGTTTTATCTTACTGACTCTGTTCAGACTTCTGGGCAAAATGTCAACTTAGACACACCATGTTGTTCCTCTACATCAAAGGTCTGAGAAACTAAGTGAAACCAACACAGAAGACAGTTCTGGAACTTTGAGCACCAAATGAAAGGATCAAGAACTAAGTTGAACACCAACTGAAAGAAGAAACTGACTGAAAACAGACAACAAGGAGAGATGAGAGGAGGGACCCTGCCTGTCAGCCTGGTACCGTGTGGCATCTAGAGACAAAAGCAGTAGTAATCCTGGATGAGGAGGACATAGAGTTAACTGTCTAGACATACCCAGAGTGAAACAATGTCTTGATTGTTGACTGCAGCCAATGGGAAGAGGCCAGGTACTCTGACTGGGTAACCAGAGGCGTAGGCTCTCCTCCCCACAACATTCCTGGTTATTACTGGCACAACCTCCCCTACCTGATTACTGGGGACCAAGGTACAAGCTCCCTACCCCTCTTTCTCTCTCACCTGGCCCCGCCCAACTACCACCCTCTCATCTATCCCAAATACTACCCCTTTCCCCACCTGATGACCCCACTAAGCAGCAGCAGTAGGCCACCCTGGTGCATCATTGGATGCTTACCGTGACCGTCACACATGCTGCCTGCTCACCCTACCCCTCTTGTCTGTCGCCCTAAACTAGCTCCCTACTCCCTACCCCTCATCTGAGAGGTGACAGCAACATGACCCCACTTGCCACTCTCCCCTCTCTCTTGCCCAACCTGGTAAGAGGTGGCACACACACCATGCACATCCTGGCCTGCCACTCATACATACCCCCCCCCCCACCATGAGGCAGACAGTGGGACTGTGCACACACCCGTTTACCCCCTCATCCAGCAGGAGGTGATGCCCACATCCCCACTAGCCAGCCACCCCTGCCACCCCTCCTATACCACTGGACTGAAGACAGACAATGGTCACTATGCAACCCTCCCCCAGGTATCCTGCAAAACAAGCAAGCAGAGACCTGTACTCACACACACAGGCACTACACCACCTGCCCAGAGACAGGTGGTAAGTACTTCAGTGTAACCCACCTAGTGACCAGAATAGAACTCCTGACCCAACCACATGGATAAAATATAATAGATTTTTTAAAAAATCAGGACATAGCAAACATACAACTAATAAAAACTATAACAACACCTTAGTGTCTCAGAAACAATAGACTATCAAATCACCTAGAGAAGGGGGGGCAAGATCTCTCTGACAAATTACCAAAATAAAGAACTAGGAAACCTCTTGGGGAAGAAATGACAATGGAACTATCTGATAAAACCTCAAAAGACATACACAGGAACATGGATGAACCTTAAGAACATTACGTTGAGTGAAATTAGTCAATCGCAAAAGGAAAAATACTGCATAGGACCACTACTGTAAAAGACTAAGAAAAAGAACCCATACTATTCCACTAAAGTGGATGATTAACTGGATGCTAGGGCGTAGGGGTGGGGTTAAGGACGGGAGGGGAAGGTGGAGCACAGGGCAGGGAATAGACATGGGATAGCTTGGGTGTTGGGGAGGGGGGCAATATACAAGTAGGGAGAGGGGAATGGAGGAACAAAGCAGATGGGAGAACAGACAGGTAGGAGCGAGCTAAATGGGACAGAGGTAATAAATGATGTAGGCACAGCCTTGGAACAACAGGGCTCTGGGATACAGAGACTGAGACATGGTTGGAATGGGGAAAGGGGGGGAATAATGTTGAGATGCTTGGCTGACTCTTGAACTTTGGTCTTCCATGCATTATATTATAAAACAGTCACGGGAGAGTAGAGGGAGGAATAACCAGAAATACCACCATAGAAAGCTTGTAAGTCTGTCTTCTGCCTGGAACTGACTAGAATACCTAAAAAGGGGTTACAATATGTCCAGTATAGGGATGGGCAACTTGAACATTGGCTACCCAAAATGGGGGGAGGGATACAAAGGTAAGAAGTGACTAGCTTACAAGCTTTCAAGAGGGAACCTGGATCGACGTGGGGAGGAGGGTGGAGTCTCAAGTGAGTAATATCCAACCTGTCTAGGAAGGGCTGATGAAAAGAAATGCGGACGGGTCTCTTGTGATGCAGGGGTGAATAATTGCTATCAGGATGGATTGTAAGGACTAGTAAGGTAAAGGTGGATATTTTATAGCAAGGAGGGATGTGATTAGCCTTTCAGTCTAGGAGCGTAGGCCCCTGGGACCATCACTGGAGAAGAACAGAAATTGGGACCCCACCCAGAGAAGCAGCAAGGCCTGAGATGGAGACAGAGAGGATGACATGAAGAGATGGAGTGGCTGAGATCCAGGGAGGGAAGGGAGCTGTGTGCTGAGGACTGTGAGGAGAGAAGGGGGCCTGCGGGGTATAACCTTTGGTTGGGTGATGATGCATGGACGGGATGGTAACTATGGCAATGAAACGATGTATGATAGAATGAGTGTAAAGCTAATGTTCCCCATGTAAACTATCACATAATAAGAGGGAGGGGGGAAGGACATATACAGGGCCCCCCAAGAGATCAAAACAAACAAAGACGAGACTCTAGAAGAATTCAGAAAACCAAAATAACAAAATTAATAGAAAATTGTTCTTGTTATTAATACTGTCAAGTCAGTTCGAACTCATAGTGACTCTGATGAGCAGCTGGTGGGTTTGAATTGCTAATCTTGGGGTTCATAGTCCAGTGCCAATCCTGTAGAAGCAGCAATTAGAAATCCAGAAGATTAACCCTAAAATGTCAGAAACAGATAATAATTCAGAAGGAATATAAATGAATCATTGAAGTCAGTATAAGAAAAATAGAGGCTAGCCCCTTGATCCATGTGTGTTAGAGGAACACTCAGAATGATGATGCACAGAGGGGACTGTAATCATTGCAATGAAATGAAGTAATCATTGCATTGAAATGAAATACAATAGGATGAGTGTAAAACCAATGTTCTCCCATGTAAACTATCCCTCAATTCACAATAAAAGCTTAAAAAAAAAAGAGCAGGAGTGGCAATATTAATCTTTGATAAAATAGACAGTCTTGTAATGTAAAAGCCAGGAGAATATACAATGATTAAAGAGTCAATGCTATAAGAGGGCGGAGCGGGGAGTGTAGAGCACGGGTTTCCAGGATATGCCCTTTGGTCGGAAGACGATGCATGGAGGGGATTGGAACCATGGCAATGTAATGATATACGATGGAATGAATATGGAACTGAGGTTCTCCCATGTAAACTATCATATAATTCACAATAAAACATAAAAAAAAAAAGAGTCAATGCTACAAGAGGACACAACCAAAATAAATATCCATGTATCCAATGAAAGAGCTTTAAAATACAATAAACACATTTTAACAGAATTCAAAAGAGAAATAGACAACTCCACAATAATAGTAGGAAGGACAACTATTTCAGTGAAAGACAGAACAATGAGAAAGGAATCAACCAAGGTACAGATTCTCTGATCAACACAATTAATCAATTTGATCTCATGGACATATACAGAACACTTCACTCAGCAACAGTTGAGTACACATTCTTTTCCAGAGCACATGGATCAATCTCCAGAATATACCATATGTTAAGCCACAAAATAAGTATCAATAAATTTTAAAACAGTGAAATAATATAAAGTTTCTTTTCAGATCACAATGCTGTTGTTATTAGGTGCCATTGAGTCACTTCTGACTTAGAGTGACTTTATGCACAGAAAAATGAAACACTGCCCAGTCCTATGCCATCTTCACAATTGTTGTTAAACTTGAGCCCATCGCTGCTGCTATTGTACCAATCCATCTTGTTGGGGGTCATTCTCTTTTTTGCTGACCCTCCACTTTAACTAGCATGATGTCCTTCTCCAGGACTGGTCCCTACTGATAATATGTCTTAAGTATGAGAGATGAAGTCTCTTCATCCTGGCTTCTAAGGAGCATCTGGCTGTACTTCTTCCAACACTGATCTATTTGTTCTTCTATTAGTCCATGGTACTTTTAATATTTGTCCCAAACACCTTAACTAAAATGCATCGATTGTACTACAGTCTTCCTTGTTCACTGTACAACTTTTAAATGCATATGTGAAGCTATTGAAAATACCATGGCTTCTGTGTGGTGCACCTTAGTCCTCAAACTGACATCTTTGCTCTTCAACACTTAAAGAAGCCTTGTGCAACAGATTTACCTAATGCAATACATTGTTTGATTTCTTGACTGTTGCTTCCATGAGTATTGATAGTTGATCCATGCAAAATGTAATCTTTGACAACTTCAATCTTTTCTCCATTCATCATATTGCTATGTACTGGTCCAGTGGTGGGGAGTTTTGTTTTCTTTACATTGAGTTGTGACCCATACTGAAGGCTGTGGTCTTTGATCTTCATCAGTATTTTAAGTCCTCTTCATTTTCAGCAAGTAATATTGTATATCTGCATATTGCAGGTTGTTAATTAGTCTTCAATCCAATCCTGATGTCACTTCTTCTTCATATAATACATTTTCTTGGACTATTTGCTCAGTGTACAGATTGAATAAATATGGCGAAAGAATACAATCGTGTCTCAAACCTTTCCTAAATTTAAGAGATTCATTGTTCCCTTGTTCTTTTTCACTGATTGCCTCTTGGTCTATGTACAGGTTCCTCATAAGTACAATTAAGTGTTCCTGAATTTTAATTCTCCACAAAGTTGTCCATAGCCTGTCATGATTCACACAATTGAAAGCCTTTGTATAGTCAATGAAGCACAGGTAAACATCTTTCTGATATTTCCTTTTTT